ATAATAAGGTTAAGCAAGCAAGGATCCAAAACGCTATCGGCAATCCAGTTCAGGGATGACATTTCACAGGACAAGGGGGACAACTTGGCTATCCTTCATAACAATGAAGGAGAAAAGTCCCAAAGAGTTGGGATGCCAAGGAACGTGGTGGAGGCAAGAGATAAGCCGCCATCCAGGAAGATGTGTTGCACCAAGGAGAAGCCAAAGATTGCCAAGTGTGCGGGCAAATAGAAGAGGCAGTTTCAAAGGTGCAGGGGAAGCCGCAATGAGGGCATTGCGGGTTTAAGTGGGGGAGAGTGTCACGCTCCGCCATATTCAAGAAGTCGTCAAGACAAACACGAGATGGAAGATTCTAGAGAAGGTCACGATATAAAGAGTCATCAAAGGGGCTCTAGAAGATTCCGCCACATTCAGGAGAGAGCAAGAAGGAAAAGCTTTAAAGAGAACCTAAGAATAACCTAGAATGCTCTAGAGTTATGTATGTACATAAGAATAGTCTAAGAGATAGAATATTATATTGTAATCTAGAAACTTCTCTTGGACTTGGAATAGTCCCACATTGGCTAGATGAAAGGCCAAAGACATGGAGGAGGCTATAAATAGGAGCTCCTCCCCTCATTTGTATTTACCCAAGCATTGAATCAAAGCATTCTAGTATTCAAGTGCTAATTATTCCTTTCTCTCTATTATTCTTCTTAAGAGTGTTTGGGGCTCATAAGTCTAGTGTTGTGAGGGGTAAGGCTGATTTAGTGCTAAGAAAGAGCGCTAAAGCCGCACGGGTGACTTGAGGAAAGTTAGTCCGTGACCAAATTCATTTATGCTTTATTGAGCATGATCAATAAAATATATTTTGCAGGGAAAATCTAAGTAGAAATGAAATAATTCATGGAAAGATTGATTTTTAAACTCTTAAAATTAGTAGAGTACATTTGCAAATGATTTTAACTTTAACTGTTAAAATATATCTTGTGATAAGATTTCTTCTGTTTCAGTTCAGTGAATATTGATGATAAAATTTCCGCTTGAAGAATTCAACTAATTTGGTTTAGAAAGCCAGCAAAAAAGTTATGACCACCATCCAAGGTGAAGTGCTTGATTCTTTGGAATAGGAAGGGGAGACAATTAAAATTCACCAGCCTAAGCCTGGACCTAGCGATGGCAAAATTAATGCCAATGATAATGTTGGATTTTGTTTCTTCCTCTCTTCCATTGTAACTATTACTAGACTCTACCCATTGTTGCAATGCATCTCTTCTGCAGACACAAAAGTCTACTGAAAATATTGACTTTGAAACTTGAAAATCAATTTGTAAGCTTCTTTTTGGCCATTTTTTCTTGTAGCTGCAATGTTCCTAACCACCAAAAGAGAGATTTTGCGCAAGAGCTATTAGGTGGTTGAGAGGAGAGGGGTATTATGGCGATCAAGATAGTTGAGAGTTGAGAGCAAGTGTTTTGAGAAGCACAAAAGGAGAGCAGTGAATGAGCACTTGCGGTTGCATCAACCTTCTTTCCATAAAGAGAAAACCATACACCTGCTAAAGGTTTTGAAGTCCTCTCAACATAGAATGGACTAATTTATTGTTGACATTTTTTCCATGTATTTTAAGCCAAAAAATTTTGAATAAGAATGCTACTGTTGGGAATATAATGGTTTATGTGCTACGTTGTCCAATATGATCTTTAATAAGTAGAAAAAGTTTATTTTGTATTTTTAATTAATTTTATTTATGTTGCATAGTTTACATTTGTAGGCATGAAGGGAGGAATTGCTCAAATACATATGCGGTTAATGCCGTTCATTGATAATCAACCATGGTATGCCTTAGGACAAAAAGATGCTGCTGAGCGCAAATTAATTTTTATCTTATCATTAATCCTGTTGCACTTTGATACTAGGGCAACGTCGAGGATGAGGACAAAAATATTTTGCGCGGTTATTTCTCTCTGTGCCTGTCTTTCTCAAAAACTGCTTCCTCCGCATTCAAAAACCATCAAGGTATCATATTTTTCTTATTAATTTTTATCTACTAGTTTCTTATATCTGAGAATGGTACTCTTTCTGTTTGGAAAGTACGTATTTTAACTACCATTTTTCTGTCTTGGTATTGGAATTTGAGCTGTGACCTTTGATATCCTAGGATATTACCTCAATATTTTGCCATTCTTGCTCTTTTTGTGATCATACATGAAGGCTGTGCTCAATATTTTTACCTAGCTTAAAGTCATTCATAGCTATGCATTTACTACTTTATTGTCGTCCGGAATGTTATGTTTGTGGTCAAGTACAGACGAGGGCAAGAAAGCACTGCTACACTTAACAAGCTTCCGTAATGAAAAGTGACTAGGCTGAGATAGACATGAACCAAAACTAACTTAAAAAAAAAAAAAAGGAATGGCCGGAGGCTATGATACGAGCGTCAGCCATCCCTCATGCGCCTATAATTCGAGTATCACACCCCACATTCGGGGGAATCAAACCCCAGACCAGTGAGGACTTACAACTGACAAGCAAATACCCGACCAACCGACATGAGTACGCGGCGTATGAACCAAAACTAACTTATAAAGTGGTCATTTAAAAAAGATATAATTAATTCATTGCAATGAAATTAATGTTGAGGAAGCTTTATGGAACAGAAAATAAGCAATATTAGAAATATTTACCAAACCAACCTAATCCAAGCAACCCTCTTCCTAAATTGGTCCACGTGTCTAATGTTATAGATTTTTTAATAAAATTTCTTTGGTTCAACTATGTTTCTAGGCTAACTAACAGGCCTGTCCAGGTTGTTGGTCACAATGAAATGTTGTTCTTTAGAGATGAGTCTTATGAACAAGAACTCAAATCAGTCACCAGAGATGCTGTTCAGTGCTTGTTCAAGACTATTGAACGAGACCCTGCGTCGGTGAGTACTTTTTGTTGAATGGAATAATGATATATGCTGAATTTCCAAAGAACTTTAAATTCTATTTTGATGTTTTTTTTTCAAAGTTATCAACAGGAAAATTTGCACTTGAAGCTTGCAATTGTCTTCTTATTAACTTCAAGGTGGTTTCATGTTTTAATTTGCAATTTACATTGTGTCCATGATTAATTCCAATACACTCATTAGTCCGAGTTGTTTATTCCCCATGATGATTATGCAGGCTAACCATGAACTACATTTAAAATGCTCAAAGCTCATCAAGATTGCAAGTTCATGTTTACCTTCCAATGACAATTATCTAAGAACTTCGGCGAACTTGTTCAACCAACACTTTCAAAATTTGTGATGACTGGCAATGCATTATATGCAGTCCTTGTAAAGTAGTTATTTTTGTGGTGGAAAGATGGTTTATGGACATTTTCAATGTGTCTGGTTTAAGCCGTTGTCATTTTTTTCAGTTGTTGGCTTGCTCAAATTAGTCTGCCACTATTAAAGCTTGTTCAAGGTCTTGTGTTTGTTTAATGTGAAAATATTCAAAAGAACGAAATTATTGAAAAATAGGTTTATCATTATATTGACTGCTTTATCTAATTCTCAGTTACATTTGTACATTTCACTGTTAGCATTTGTGTGCTACATTTGTCCCTTTCATACTCTTCTTAAAGCGAGCTTTCACATATATGTTCATATATATGTTCATATGTGATTTGTTTAAAATTTTTAATGTCCATATTTGATTTATATTTGGTCTATTTATATTAATTAGAAAGTTAAAAAATGAGTATTCAAATTTTGATATAAAATTAAAATTTTGATTTCTACATAATTTTTCATATAAAATAATTATACAATTTAAAAGTTTAAATGAGTTTGATTTTTTTTTATCTAGATTATTAATAAATAATTTTACAACTCTAAATAATGAGCAATAGAATAGATTTCAAATTAGCTTTTAATTATTTTATATCAATTAAATAAAATAATATATAAGTTGTACAAAAGTTTTTTTTTCTTATTTTTTTAATTAAGAATCTCTCAACATTATTAAAATTCAATATTTTTTTATTTATTTGACTAAACCAAAATTAAATCAAAGAAGCTAAACTATGTTGCGATTTAGCTTGCTTTGATTCTACTTATTTAGATAGCTGGTTTTTCTTATATTTTGTTTTGGATTAATTGAGATTACAAATCCATCAATCAATCCATGAAATTCAACACAAAATAGAGTCTCTATGCAAGTCTACTTGATGGCTTCTACATGATACTTCAAAAATAATTAAATAATTAAATAATTAAAATTCTATGTTCATTAATTGATTGAGGGCACTTTTTTAGTTATAATGCAATTAGCATAAAAAAATATGCATAATGAGGTATTCTATAAATGATGATTTTTTTTTTTTGGTTGTCAAAGAGTCAAATTGAATAAGTAGATATATTTTAGCTATTTTATATGATAGAATATATTTAATATTCATAATTAGATGGATGAGCATCTTTGTAAAAAATTTATGATAACTATTTCTTCTCTTAAGAATTTGTAAATGATCGTAAACTTTTGCATGTAATTTCTTATACTTTTGGCAATTAGGATGATAGATGTTATCAAAATATAATTATGTTATTTAAATTCTTTAGTGGATTGATTATGATTTTCCTAAGAACATGTGCTTCATTAATATATTCTTTTCTTATGTTCCCATCAAGGCTTTAAGGTTTCCTTACAAATGAAAATGTTGAATTATAAAAGACATCCGTTGGTAATTAGTATCAATATACTGGTCATATCAAGTTTTGGCCACTTACTATCTCAAAATGTGATTTCTTTGACAAATATTAACATAAGTAAATTTAATTTTGATTTTTTATACTCTTGACAACAAGAAACCTAAGTACAACTCTTAAATTACAATTGATTTTATTAGTTTGATTGCCTATTTAAAGATGAAAAAGCAAATAAAAATATAATTTTCACTGGTAACAATTTTTATAGACTTTTAAGGGTATGAGATATATCAAATAACTTCATCAAAAATAATGATCAATGGAATTCTATGTGTATGCATGATTTTCATTAAAGAATAATTAAATAATTTGAGAAGTAATATTAGTTTTGGAGCAACACAAAAAAGTTGACACTTTAGAATTAACACCTTTTAACAAAATATTAGCATACCCTTGAGCTATTTTTAATAATCCTAAGATAGAAATTATTGATAAATCTTTCCAAGGATATAAATAATGTGCAAGCCAATGTAATGAGCATGCTACAATTTAGTGGCTTAGCTTGTATATAGTTCAAATATTGAGCTATTAATTTTCTAACATAACATTTAAATGAAGGGTTAAAAAAATTGATTCTCTATAAAAAAAATTTTGGTTTATGAAGGGTTAAAAAAATTGATTCTCTATAAAAAAATTTTGGTTTTTTTTTTCATGAGATGACGAAAAAAATTCTCAAAACAAATCATATATAAAACATTTTTATTAATGAATTCAAAGGAACACAACATTAACAACAACAACAAGCATTTATTTCACTAAATGGAGTCGGCCAGAGAAATCAATTTTCTCCATTATGCCCTATTGAATGTCATATTTTTCATTTAATTTCAATAAAATATTATTAATTTTTTTATGCAACATGCCCAAGCCTTTTTAGATTTGCCTCTACCTTTTTCAACATAACTCAAATCTAGTACATCTACTCATCTCACTATATCATCAAATGATCGGCATTTAATGTGGCCAAACCATCTGAGGCAACTCTTTCAAATCTAGTTAACCACTTGAGCTACTCCAACCCTTTCACGGAATTATTTATTTTGAGTTTTGTCTGTAAGTGTAAAGCCCCTTATCCACTAAGCATCTCATCTCAACAAAACTTAATTTTATGTCTAAGAATAACCTAAGAATGTAATTAAATTTTCTCTATGCAAATATCTTTTAATGATTAAGAATGTGTATTACAAAGTCAAAGGCTTGTCCAAGAATTTAATATAAATTAAGTGAAAATAAGGATGCACTATATGTTATTTCTAATTCAATTGAACTCTATGATCTTTAAATAATGTCATGAATTTCACGGAAGAAGTGGTCATGAATTTCAACCAAGATAAGTCATATAGAGACTTGATTTCAAGCTATAACCTTAGTGAAATTTGACCCATTTTAGCCTGTTTATAATTTTTTTTCTATTGGTTATTGATAAACATGAGAGCATAATGATTGAAGTTAAGAAAAATACCTTATAAAAAAGATTGCTTTTCCAACACTTCATTGATTAAATTATAAAATATGACTTCATTCATAAGTTAAATGATCTTATTTGCTTTATTCAACATTTTGTTAAAAAATATGATAGGATATTTTTTTAACTTAATATTCTTATAATTTCAATGCTGGAAGGATCACAATTCATTTAAGAGCTATAAAGAAGTTAAAATGCCTAAATATTATGGAAAAGTAATTAAAAACCCAAGGATTATGGAAAATTAATAAAAACCAAACCCCGTTGAACATATTAATAGTGCATTTTGAGGATGTATATTCTTTAACCACTTTTGGAAATTCATTTTTAGTGAGTCCTTAGTGGGATTCTTCTTATAGTGTGGAAATTTAAGAAATTTGTAACCTAGAATAAAATTAGTTATGTGTTCAACTATTCTAAGTTGATCATTAAATCAAGAAGTTCATTAAAAGCAATATCGCAAAAATTAGATTGTAATATAGAAAAGTATATTATTTATATAAGTCCAGCTAGATTCTAGTTTGGTATTTTATTATATATAATAGGTGAAGGGAGAGTGGAATAATAAATCTCTTTTAAAAGATCCAAATCATATGGTCTCTATTGTTGGGACAGAGAAGATTTCAAAATAGAAAAACAATAATTAAAATAAAAAAATGATAAAGGTATCCCTAACAGTATTGTTTCCAATAAGAATAAGTTGAAAATTAAAACTTTTCTTGGTCATGGGTATTGGTCAAAGATTCGACGTTCATTTTGAGGAGCTATGGATGATTTTTCTTTATATGTTTAAGCAAGAGTTTGATGATTCTATTATTATATTTTAAGATCCCTACCATATGAATTCATTCAAATCATATAACTACTACATGGTTGACACGATGTGAGTAACATCCATCACAATGTTATCCCACAAAATAAAGTCTTCATAATTGTTGATTTTGATTGAAATTAAGCATCTAATAGTGATGAGAATGATGAGTAGTTAACCTAACTAACATGAAAGGGTTTAGGGAGAGGTTCATTTTTTTGAATTTGTACTAGTAATGGTGTATGTTGAAATAACATTGTGTTTCATCTTGTTATATGAAAATGATACACTAAAAAGTATGTAATCAAGCATAAAATGAAGTGATGAGAATTAAATATCATCCCATGAATTTTGAGTTTACTATGTATGAAAATTGAATTAATTAATTTTTAATCTGAAATGTCAAAATGTATTTTTTGATAAGCAATCAAAATAAACTAATGGAAATAAATGTTCTAATTATTAAAAACAAAAAAATTGGGTTGATTGAAGAATGGATGAAAATTTAGGAGTTTGTTTAGATATTTTTTAATATCTTAACATATAAATTTTATTGATTAACATAGATAAAAATGTTATATAATATTATGTTGTTCACCATTTTATCAATCTCCTAAAGAAGATAATTTATCAAATACAACATATTTTTATTTATAAATATTATAAAGTTTATTAAAAATAAGGATCCAAAAGATTACACAACCACAACATCGACATCTCTATGTTACTATTAGTTGAAGTATTTCGACAATGTTAAACTTCTTTTACACCTCTTAAATTTGTTTAAGTCTCTAAATCTCAAAATTAATGCTAAATAATCAAAATAATAAAACCAATAGATTAAAAATACCCAAAAAGAATTGAAAGCATAGATGATAAAAATGTAAATTAATAAGAAAGCTATATAAAAAGTTAGTTACATTGAGCCCCTAAATTGGGTATTTTGTTCATACAAATGAAGAAAATGAGTAACCTAAGATATTACCAAAAAAAAAAATATAAGAGAAAGGATAAACCTAGAAGTTAGTGTTACAACCAATATCTTTGCCCTAGTCATCATTCTCCTCAAGGAAAAGATCCCTCTAACCCCTTAAAATTCACCCTAAAATTAAACTTTTACATAAAATTTTATTTTAAAAAACATTATTATAGAGCATAGCACTATAACGTCTACTCACTTATTGAATGCTTGAGAAGTAATGTAGCATTCAAGTGTTTAAGTGTTAAAACCATTGCCTTGGTGTGAAACACTTTACAATTAAAAAAACATTAAGAAAAATTAAAAAGAAAATTAAGAAAAAATTAAAAATTTGAAGTATCCTAAAACTAGAAGTGACACCTCAATGTTGAATTTCAACACCTTTGAAATAAACTATGTTATCATGGAATTAATTTAATTTTAAAAAAAGTTTGGGAGTGACCTTTATAAAAAAAAATTGGGAGTGATAGTTAGTTCCAGTTTCGGCACCTTGGAATCAATGTTGCTTCCTACTATAAATGGCTCTAGATTTTA